TGGTAGAATAACTCTTTCGATAGTAAGTACTCGCCTCTCAATCGTTTGGTGAGCAATTAAATCCTTGTCTGTTTAGAATTCAATACAGCAATTCCGTTTAGACATGATACTCTGTATTTTATGAGTAATTCATATTATATAAATCGGAACACGAGGAGGGAAGAGTGGTAAAAACATACCTAACGTAAAACTTAGTGCTGTATTTAAAAACTTTTAAATTTGAAAACTAACATGGCGAACAAAATAAATATCAATATTTTCAGAAAAGGAGCAAAGATAGCGAGCGTTTTTTTTCTTCAAACAGTCATCTACTCTCTTCCTTCTGTTTTTCCTGATTTAAACTTACCGAAACCTAACTTAACCTACCTTATTGCTGTCCCCGGACGTTTTTAAACACATTGGAAAATAATATACAAAACCGGATAATCTTGCACGGCAAAAAAATATTTTTGATATATTTTCATATTATTTAATTGGAAACTTAATCTTAAGTTTTTGTAATTAAAGAAATGGATATTACCTAAAAAATACAATCCGCGAGGGGTTAAATATATTTGTAATATTTTTAACCTTAATATTGTCTAATTAATTTAAAATTATGTTTTTAACAAGACATTGATTAATTAGAACACAATTTTTTCAGTATTATTATTTCCTAATTATTGTAAGTTATTTTACATATTATACTATGCACAAAAAATCATATATAATATAATAATATTATATGTATGATTTTTTAATATTATTATATATGTAATGTTTTCCTCCAAACTTTAACTTGACCTTTTTTGCTAGTGTGGGTACAATAACAACAATAAACAAACAAAATGACATTATTTCGGATATTATGTGATTGCATGAATTCTAATGGGTTTTCTTTCAATTCGACCATAACGCGAAACTCGAATAATACAACTTTGTAAGTAAAACAAACTCGAGGGCTCCAATCGATTACCGTCTGGATGTTCGATAACAATAATTCGTCTGTACGATAAAGTAGGTGATTTTCATTAGAAATGATAATATAAGTGTGCGTTTTGCGATTACGAAGGAAATACCATAAGCGAGCCGCAGTTTATGTGCTTGAAACAAGTTTAATAACAATAATAATTTAGCTTACGCCGAGATTAATGGGCCGCTTGTGCCGTCTGAGAAATAAGATAATGACGAGACCGTAGAACGACTATGCAGTCATTTCGAAAACTGTCCACCGACGATAATTGTCGTTATCACCGTCTTCGTGGCGAAAAATAATATGTAATATTGCAAAAATAATAATAATAATAATAATAATAATAACTCCAGACGTGGCGTTTGTGTTAATGAAGTATTTCGAACGGAAACCGCAGATTTATCGCCTTATTTACTTACTTATCTACACGGCAATTTCTCATCTAAAAAGTAGTTCAATTAAAAAATTCGGTCCAGTGGTTAAACAGTTGTCTGGAGTCCAGCTCACACAAAATAGACATTATTGTAAAACAAATATCTTTTCAGCAATAAATATATTATAGAAGTTAATTAAAAATGTAAATAATTGGTTACGATTTAATTTTTACTTATTTATAATAAGTTTTCAAAATATATCGTGACTTAATACATACTTGTAAATTCAATGTGTTATACAATTAAATTATCATACCAAATTGTTATTACGGTTCGCAGCTCTAAAAATAAAAGATCTGTTCAAATCTTATCAAAATTAGAGTGAATCCTATTAATTCTACATTAATTTTGAAAGTAAGAGTGATTTTATATCATATGAAACACATCCGATATTTTCAATTAGCTCAATACAACTTTGTGTACATTTCATAATAATAACATTGCGCACTAAAATATATTCTATGTATTTATAGTCATCATAAATTTTGTTTGTTTTGGCATGAAAGCAATAAAATTACTATATTTGCTAAGTGATACAAAATATCACATCTATGTACGCGTTGAAATGTTGCTTATAGTTAAAAAAAAATCTATAAACGTCCTATTTTGCATACTAAGTGTGCAGAGTCATAAACAACCTACATTATTGGGTTGTATTGGCCGTTGCCTGAACAACATTGTGTAACCCATGGCTAAAATTTAAATAATAAATTGAATGTGAATGAAACTTGAATATTGTCAGTGAACTTTTAAAATTTAATTGGCCAAAGCCTACCATTATCAGTCTACAAAAGGATTAGTATTATATTTTTCTATAATAGAGATAAGGATAGGACCGCGGACATTATGATGCATATAAACTATTTGGGTTGGTACAATGATGTTAGCTCGAAATGATCCAATTTTCTTTGGATCATAAAAAGTGTACTTAAAATAGTGATGTTACCAAATATAAGAGATTTTATTCCAAAAGAAACGCGCTAAAAATGACTAACGATAAATATTAAGTGGTAAGAGGAATTTTTCAGCAAATGTAGTGAAATAATTATTTTTGTTTTGTTTTGATAAAAAAACATGTTTACTGATGTGTGCGTTTTGTCCCACGCTGTATAACATATGATAATTTGTTTACTGAATAAAGCACACACAACTCTGCTAAGTGCCTTTATTGGGCGCATGTAATCCGATTGTAATAATTATTGTGTGTGTGTATGTGTTTTTTTTCAAAATCCAATTCGATCGGCTAAGCCTTTTGGCCGTCCAATCGTTCTATATACATTATTAATCAGATGTCGGTGGCCATAAAGACGACAATGCGCAGTAAAAGCCTTCTATCCCGTTAAAACTCCATAAAAGTCTAATTAAACCCAACGACGTACAGAGCGAAATTAATGTAGTGGACGTTAAAACTATAACAACGGCTAGATCCATTAGATTCTCGGTTACAAAAAAAAAAAAAAGGGGGTGGAAAAAAGAGGATTATGTACGTGTTTATATTGATAATATCATACCATTTTGTCTCCGGTCACCGAGTCCGGTGTAACAATATAATATTATTATTATAGTACAGTAGTTAGTATATAGAACTACTGTCAGTGAGGTTACCATAATAATATCCTGCGTTAATTGTAAAATATAATACTAAAATGTTGGAAATATAATAACATGTACATTCCGTTCACAGTGTAGAGCCTATATTCGATTATTAAATACCACCTAATGGGAAAGCTCCAAGTTAAAACCGTTTGTTTATTTTATTTTGCTGAAAGGCCGGTATTAGACAATATTAGCTGGTATTCGACGTGCTAAAGACTTAAACAGATGTAGAGAACTCCTTTTTTTCTAACGGTTAAACCGTCATCGAGCCTACAAAAGTTCTAGAAAATTTCGAATAGAATAATATGTTATATTTAAACGCAAAACTATTCGAATGACAAACTTTGATATTAATATATTATATCGTTTTCATTCGCCGGTCATATAGTATAGTTATGAACAAAATATATTATTAGTATACCAAAATCACAATATGAAAACCTTGCCCTACATAATAAATTATTATAGATAGAGAGAGAGAGAGAGTGTAATATATACGAGGGTCGGATCACACTTAAGCGGTTTTGACTTATAGCGGGAACGGCGGCGGCGGCCGATAAATATCAAACGCGCCCTTAATAACATTATTGTCTTAGACTTGTGTATATATATATAATATAATAGTAATAATAATATATACCTACAGCGCGAAGGCTAAACGGTTAACCTCCATAAATCATTTTTTGTACTTTTATTAAAATTCGGTCCAAACCTAGCGATGGTATGCTTTTTTCTCAAGAGGGAGAAAGAGAGAAACTAAAGTATGTGAAAGTGTGAGAAGGTATTATTATTGTGGGTAAGGCAGCGAGAGAGATAGAGAGAGATGGATTGTTGAAGCGAATAACACCCACCGCAAACACATCCCTCGCGTCTAAAATACCAACACTATGTGCGTTATATTACTAGGTATTATTATTATTATCATTATTATTACACCACCGATGATCCTCTCAGCGAGACTTCTTCGCTCTTTCTTGTTCATCTCTCCCGCAAGCTTTCCATATACATATATATATATATATATATATTCTTCGACCTTATAATGTACACCTTACACACACAGCCCTTTCTCTTACTCTCCCTACCCCCTCAGTCTGCCACTATAAGCACAACTCGGCATACCTTTGGGGGGCCTATGTTCGCACGCACATGCATATATAATGTATTATGAATGGCTTACACACATCATCCGAATATTGTTATTATTATTATTATTATTATTATTATTATTCGACGTGGCGGGTTTTGTTATTAAATATTTCGCCGTGTCAAATGTGTACACGACGAACTCGGTCCCGTTGTAATTGACAAAACTATGTCGAGACCATGGTAAAGTTACAAACAGATAATATATATATATATAGAGAGAGAGGGAGAGCAAAGAGCAATAACGTTTTATCACGTTATTATGCGTTCGCTCGACTTCATTTTGCAATTATACAATATATATATATATATATACATTATTGTCGGTAGAGGTTAATATCCAAAACATGGCATGTATCGCTTTATAAGTATATAAACCTCGGTATGAGTAGATGAGGTTGGGAAAACGGCGACTTTTGAAATGGATCCTAAAGTGGCATAGGGAATAAGCATATTTTGTTTTACTAGTATTTTATTTACAGAACCAACAGAAGCGTCACTAGTCCTAACTTTATTTTTTTTATAGATTGAGATTATTAGACTCAAAGCTCTCATTCTCTAATGGTAAAGTTAACTTGCGGAAAGTCCCGTTTGGGTTCAAAGTGACATATAGCCTCCTCTCTTAAACACTGCGCCAACTCTCTTCACGACAACAAAATAAAGTAAATCTCAAAGTAACAAGTTTGTAAAGACTGCACTAGCTTAATGTTTGCCGAATGACCTAAATATTGTGCATAACTTGGTAGGCGGTTGTTGACTAGTGTCTAGACCGTATTGTAAATCGGGCGGTCAGCAGCAAGACATGAGCTGAACAAGTCCAAAGAGGTGTGACTCCTTAAAAATATACTTATAAAAAAGAACATGTGACTTACCGACGTGAACTGCATCACTCTGAGGAACCACAACGTCAGAGTCAGGTTGACGACAATGATGGTCATCAGGGTGAATAGGAAGATGTACAGAAACCGTTTTTTCCATTTGTACGGGTCAGTGTACTCCTGTCCAGTGTCCGGCCTACTAGGTCCTCTGGCCGGTTGTTCCTGCTGTAGTTGCTGTTGATGCAGTTGCTGCTGCTGCTGATGCTGTTGCTGATGTCGCTTCGAGTATTGCGGTTGTTCCTGACTACTTTGCTGGTGCGGATGGGGATGACTCGAGTCGTACTCTACGATCTCCCACTGGCCTTGCTCTTTGACGATGTCGTCGTCGTTCATTGTTCTTCTGCACATAACGACGACAGTTAGTTTAAAATATAGCTAACCTACTTAGATTACTATAGACATATTATAGAAAATGGCGTGAGCATTTGACGATACCCGGAGACATGACTTGCAATCATATTTACCACATTTATGGAGGAAAATATCATCTTCAGTATACCTAGGCCAATATTTTATGATTCATGTGTGCCGCGTTGCTAATATGACTTACACATCACTCGTCAACTCCAATAAATGCAAAAATAAATCATAAATAGAAAACACTACATGAACACTTGTATTTTTTTTTCTACACATTAATGTACAAAAAGCTCGTTATTTCAAAATTAAATTACAAAGAGATAATTCACTTTTACAATGACCGGCACATATTATTGCAGAAAGAAGGTAGGGGGGTAAGGGGGTAAGTTTAAATAGACCAACCACTGACCTATTGTAGTTTCAACAGTCAGAACCCCAATAGTAGAATGTATTTTCTTTTAAACAATATTAATGCGCCATCAATGATAAAAAAAAAAATGATGTATTATTATTTCACATGTATAAAAAAATACGGACGACTTGTTTACACTTAACAAGACGGAGTGGAGTGGCCTTAAAGGGAGTATTTTTAAAACTGCAATTACTTTAAAAAAAAAGTATAATTTAATCATTTCTCATACAGAAAATGTTCAATCTATTTAAAATTAGATATAAATTGAACATTAAACATACTCATTTTTAAGTAGTCGCTTATAGACAATGTTTCATAACAAAATAAATAAGAGCTAAATTTCAGTGGGTATGTATTACAATATAATTAGAATTATATACTAATAGTTGAAACCGTCCTTCGCTTTCCAAGAACAGCTTTTAAAATTCATATAAAACACAGTTTTAGTTTTTTGAGAAAAAATTTTTAAATTGGTATCGTCAAAGAGATTCGACTGTTATAAATTTGTAAAATTTAATTAAATGCCTATTAATGAGTTTTCCATTAAGAGATCACTTTACACGACATTAACACAAAGTAGATTTGTCAGAAATGTAAAACTCAGAAAAAAGTTTTGATCCAAAAAAGCTTATTAAGGCACTGAACTAATAAAATAAAAACGAACAAAATTGTATTTAAATAGTGAAATACATGGAAACCAACTTTCGTTTGAATTTTGAATAAATCATTTTGAGAACGCAATTAAACGCATTTTAAAAAAAATCTTTCACCCTACATTTTTTTTTGACACCGTAAATCACTGTTCACATTAAGACAGACGGCTGTTAACGGTAAGTTGAAAATATTTGACAGTAAAATCAACTTTCAAACGCAGTTTTATGATTTAAATGGCTGTACTTGATCATTTGAAAATTTCAATCATATTATATTATTGCTTTACCGGAGACTTACGGGGTCGTACATAATAGGTACCTTTACTTCCCGGAAAAACCGGACGTGTCCCATGCCCGTACACCGCAGCTTTTACAACGGTATTGCACAATATACGACAACAGGCTACGACCGATCAATCATGGTATTATTATTATTCTTATTGCGATCGTATAGGCAGGCATACCGCGTATCCATTATATTGTAAGACGCTTGCACAATAATACAGTGGCCTGGGCTCTTAAAAAAAAAAAAAAAACCCTTTAACCGTCGACATTAAAACGTTTTCCATATCGTCGAACGGCAACGTGCATGGAAAAACTCACACACTGAAGGTTAATAGTGCCGGCAAAGGGTGACCGAGCAAGTAGGGGACGTGACGCCTTGAGGACCGGTGCCGGGCGATAACAATATAAACGAAAGATGGATGTGGTCTTGGCCTTTTTTAAAAGCACCCGTCCATTCGGTATGTGTGAGCTTTCTTCGCGTTCCTTTATTATTACATTTTTTTTTCTTTTTCATACTTGCATAATACGCGTCAAGGAGACTGCGTAACGGTTACAATGGAGCTCGTTTAAGCGTTTTCGAATACAACAGACTGGGGGGGGGGAGGTCGGTTTTATCGTACATCAATCCCTATTTTACCTGGCGACAACGTTAATAATAACATAACGCCGGGGCCACGGCAATTTGAATTGAAAATTTAGAAGGAGCTGGCCAGGGGGGGAGTCGATAAGTTTAGATCCTTTTGAAACCCTACAGAAACTTAGAGGTCCCACAGAATTAGTGTGTATCGATAAGTAATACCCAAAAAAAAACTAGGCTAAACCATACTTAAATGATAAGGCAAACTGGTAAGAACGGCTATTATATGCTCACCGACAATTTTATTAGTAGGTAAGAGGATTGTGCAATATTGTTTTAAAAATATGCTATTCAAAATTGGTTTTACCAGCAATGTGCATGTATAGGCTACGAATTGAAGTGATTAGAATACAAGGATACTCGGCATTTCACCATCCTTAATTAGAAGAAATATTATAGTGTTAATATGTTCGTTCTTAAAAGAGTATTTCAATGAGGTAATGCCGGAAGTTTCGGACGGTAGGCGTTTCGGTTGTAAATATTATAATATAAATACCGTTTGGGCACATCGTTTGTTTCGAATACAATATAATATATATGTGTGTAAGTATGGAGCAGAGCCTGATCGTGTGTGCTTGGGACTCACGCACGTCGAGTTTGTAAAATGTTTATCGCATTGAATGGGGATAATATAGTACTTATGTGTGTAAACTTGCGCCCTTGTCTTTAATTTGGTGCTTTGTCTCGCTTCTGCCATCTGCGGGGCCCGGACTAAACACCTATATGCCGACAATAACGGCCAAAAAACTTTTCGCCCTGAATCATTTTCCGTTTTTGTCTTATCGAAAAGTCCACACCGCCTCCCGTACGAGCACGTCCGCTGTTTGCCCGCCGAGTAGCACGTGTGGGGCCAGATTTAGCCAGGGTTGACTTAGCCGGTTGTGATCGTGCGGAAATTCAAAAATCTTAACGCCATTCACTTAACACGTGCCAGTTTGCGTGTACACAGCGTTATTAGTGTCGCCCCGACTTAGTATAGGTACTTGTAGTGTAGGTACTTGTAGTGTAGGTACTAGTGGTGGGACTATTCAAATAAAAAAAATTCGAATATTCGAGTTATTCGATTATTCGAATAATTCGAATAGTAGAAAAATTCGATTCGAGGTCTCAGCTCTAGTAGGTACTATATTACATCACAACAATCCCGGATCTTTATTATTTCTCTATATTATACACTGTAATACTGGTATCCCGAAAATCATATTATAATCATATTATACAATATAATATTATAATCATATTATACAATATAATATTATAATCATATTATACAATCCACTCCTGAGACTAGAAAAGTTACGTTAGGTTTGGTACATTGGCGGAGATCAGAATATCAGACCCTTAAAAGTTAAAACTAGTGCTTTTCAAAATACCTGTATTTATTTTGAGGGATTAAATGAAATAAAAATAAACGTAGCACTAATTTTAAGGTTTTTAGAAAATCAAGCCACATTAATAGTTTGACAAAGTTAAGTTAATATTTCGGCTGATATTAACTCAACGGCGTCAAGTGGTGTTTTATTGGTTAGCAAAAAAAATGTTTATATATATATATATTATAACTCATACTACTTATAGTGACTATTTATATATTATAACTAGACCCATAAAAATATATAGATAATAAACTAGATTCTAAAAATATTCTAAATAACCTAAGATGATACAAATTATTTTATTGTCTATGTTTTACCTAACCCATTGGGATTACTAATTTAAAATTTTCTTTGACTCATCTAAAATGTTGACAGGCGGAAATAACAAAATATATGAATTATTAACTGGTTCGACTTTGCTTTTTCATTGTTGCTACAATATTTTCTTTATACCCATAACTGCTTGGGAAATGTGAGAATTAAAGAAAGCTTTTCGAAGAAATGTCGAAGCAAAAGGCACGTTATTCACGAAAGAGGAGCCTATATAATACGGAAACGATAAAACTGATAGCGAATCTCATATATGTATATATAAGAAAAACGATACCTATGGGATTTGAACAGGATTATTCTGATGTGTATTTTTTGGTGGAAATTCCGAGTTATGATGTTCCGAGTTAAGTTGATTTCCTAAGAAGAGTCTACACTGGCAAATAAAGAAAAGCGTATAGCCGCGCTTAGAGTCATCTTAAATTATATTTGTCATTTATTATTATTATTATTATTATACGATATTTTGTATTCGGTAACACTATAAATACGTCTGTTTTTTTTTTTAATATAGGCATATATTTTTCAGAATATAAATCGGATTAGCCCAACCGTTTTCCGTAAATAGATATAACCAGTACAAATTATAGTTTACACTATAGATATTTATCTTATTTACCATTTGTGTATGATAGTTATTAAGCGTAGAGTGAATTGAACTTCATATATTTTATAGCATTTTATATCTCTACATTTAATTGCAAATGCTCGTTAATTTATTTATGTGTATATCGTGTCTCTAATGCTTTTCAATCAATAACGTACAAAACGTAAATTAAATTCTACGAAAACAAATTACATATTTTATATTTGACCTATCACTCGGACATCAGATTTGTCACACTTGACCTAAATGTTTACAAACATTGTAAACAGAGTGCCAGATGGAAATGTTGTATTTTAAAAGCATAGTAATAATAATAATATAGTAATATGTCAACCTTATACTATTGCATAAATAATTAAATAATACATTTTATGTATAATGCGGTTATTACCTAGGCATAGTTTTTGATCGAAAATCCGTCCTGTACACATTTTGTTCGCTATGGCTAGAATGAATCTGGAACCAACATAAAACACACCAATTAATGAACTGTAATTAATAATAATAATGGTTTAGTTTATAAGCAACGTTTAAACCACCGTCGATTAAAAAGCCCATTTTTTTCCTATAAATTAATTGCTATTTGTGGCCGTTCGCACCAAGTATGATTTATTATAGTTTACTCTATACTGTTATATATAATACTGTTCAATACTGTTATATATAATAAAAATATTATTTGAGTAGTATACATTGTATCGTTAGAACTAAAAAAAAATAATTTTATTAATACTGTTATTTAAATTATTTTCATTCAAATAAACAAAAATATTCGTATGGCGTATTTGACAGGGAGGGCTAATTTCATTCAAATTAAGTTCATTAATGAAATAAATCAATATCTTAAATTTTTAAGACTAATTAAAAGCTTTTTTAATTAGTCTACGGTAAACATTTTTGGTTAATAATTGATTGGTTGTCTTTACAGAAAATTTGAATTATATATTTTTTCTAAATGAGGTTTGGTCGAAACTATTTTAAGTATAATATCAGTTTAACATTTTGAACATATTTTATGCATAACATTTTGCTCTACAATATATTCAATTGAATACAAACTATATATCTATAAATTAGTAATTAAATTTTGACATTTTTTTTGTAGCATTACCCAAAATTAACTCTCAGATCAGATAAACTTTTAATGCTAACAACTCGAAAAGTGTTTATTCGATTATTCGAAATTATTCTCAATGTGTTCAATACATCATCCTGCTTTAAGTAGGTAAATAAAATAATATGTAGGTTGGTATTCGATTTTTAAAAGCCACCTTTTAAAACTATCCCTCGAAAAAATGTAATATGCTGCTTCAATTAAGATTTATTTACTTAACTTAACCTGACTTTGAGAATTTCACCATTCTTGTGTTCGAAATTAAAATATTGAGTTGTTTGATTCAATATTATGTAACTCTAAAAATTTGTAAGCAAAACAAATCAGGATTTCTTCATAAAAAAACAAAAATTTACTATGTAACTTTTAGCGACCGATTTCCAAAAAAAAAAAAAAAATACTAATGAAATTTTATCGATTTCACACACCAAGCACTCGGATCTAAATTCAAACAACACCACAACTGCCACCTGACATTTTCAAGTTTGAAATTATAATGTAATATAACGTCGGCCGTGCTTAACCACATTAGTTTCAGAATGTACAGACCGTCATGGGTTAGACGTGTCAATCATATGGTAACGTAAAGGACCCTCGAGTAGTGACCACGCTGTGTTTGCATATATGGATTGTGTGCAAATTGAATTGAAAGTCGTTTAGTGCACTTTAAAATGATTATAAAAACCGTGCAGTTTAACGGGAACGCGACAAGTACTATTACATTCCATGATTTATTTTACAACCGCCTACACACTGTCCATGTACCTTCACTGACTTTAATAAATAAATAACATTTTCGACTTGATCGTAGTTGATTCATAACTTAACTTGGTGAGTTGTTTGAGTTAAGCTTCAGCTAAGTACGAATAAAATTAAACATTTATTTCATACCGTATATTGTATTATTATTATTTTTAAAAAAACGTTCAAATTACTTTAACACTATTATGCTGGATTGCACAAAACTTTGTCTATTCAATGAATCACAAATCGATGACCACTGTGATTGGACCAAACACGGCCTATTATGGAACCAATAAAGTTTTGTGCAATCCAGCATAAGTCTTTAAAAAAAAAAAAGTCTGCATCTTACATAACACGTGTTCGGCAATAGAGGACAGAGAACAACAATATTGTCAGAAAATTGAGTTAAACGTTATAAACTTGTAATAAACTCAAGTCTCGACAAGGTTAATATTATACATAACAAAATAATGAGACATTTGTTTTTGATAAATAAGTACGGTATTAGTTTTATTCCTAATTTTCAGTATTTTCTTTTAATAAATTAATTCTCGTTGTCAAATAAATTGCGTTTATAATACATTTCAAAGGGATATCTTGTGCCTGACAATTATTCATAATAATGAAAAATAATAATACGGTGTGTTCGATTGCAACCGTCAACAGAACGAAATGGCTTTAATTTGAGTTTCTGCGAAAATTCGGCCAACGTCAAACCGACTTTTGTGCAGAAGCAACTCTTTTAAGATCCTGTTAAGCAGTGTTGGCGTTCAAACGAATAATTAAAATAAATTATTAAACGACACAGAAACGCGACTGCTATGCCAATATGAATCGACGAACTAATGTTGATATTATCAAACAAATAAGGTTGCCGGCCGATGTTACCTATACTATCTTATACTGAACAATACAGCTGAGTGACTTGTAAAAGATTTATTGTATTATTTCTTATAAAAAAAAAAAAAATTGACTGATAAAATTGTGTCCTATTTAGGCTATTCGTCTTTTGCACACGCCTTCTGTATCATTCTTAGTCGAATGAAGGGTATCCTCGTATAATTAAAATAGACCCACCGTTGTATTCTCAGTGTTCGACCTAGGACTTCAATAACGACGACAAAACGGCTAGTCTTTTCTTAGGGTCACAACGATGGACGTAGTTGTATTGCTTTCTCTGTTGTCCGATGTCGGACAAGTTAAATATTATGTAAGTAATCAAAAATGTTACCGAAGTTTGTGATGCGCTTGTTTATTTACTTATTTTTTAAGACTAGAATAGTTTAGGTTAGATGTAGTCGATGCAGGTACATAAATAAATGTGATTTTTGTGTGCTGCTACTCGCATACATAATGCTATGAAAAGCTATTCTAATTTCAAACTGTTTGGCTGTTAAATTATTTTTAATCGAGTTATAGTTTTTTGGGATATTATAGTATTAAACCTTAACAAAACATATATATTTATATATATATATATATATATATATATAAATCTACAGGGTGATCCACTTATCGTGAACCACTCAATATCTCATAGGGTTTAATAAATGCATTAATAAGTGCATTTCCCAACCACACTTCTCCTTCCATCCTAACTTAAAACTCTTAAAACTTTAAAAATAGTTATCCGAAACTAGTTATCGACTAATCAACATTTTTAGTACATTATTCACAATTAAAAAAGTTAATAAAATGTATACGTTACCGTTTAAGTTTCAAAAGTTGCTATAAAAAAAACTAAATAAATCAAATTCAAAATATCAAATCAAATCGAATAATCAAATTAAATTGAGTTACAGTAAAATATTGTTACAGCATTCAATATTATTTGAAGGTCTAAATAACAAACAATATAAAAAACACAAACTTATTTCCAAATTAATATTTTCCCAAAGGCCCTGGAACGTTGGTCAGAGAATGGTAATTTTCGATTTCTTTCCAGTATCAAAAAGGAATATAAGGAACCTAAGTATAGATATTGAGCACGTATGATCTAAGCCTATTTCCTTTCTTTGCAACGCCGGGAAGATCACGGGAACGTGGTATTAAATTTGTAATTTTTGTCATTTAGATACAAGTTGACTAGATTTGTAGACTTAGTATGACCAACTCGACTGAACAGACTATTCAATCAACAATACTATTTTATTTAGTGAATCGTCCGCGTAAAATGTGGTTGTCCTATATTTAGTTTCGTCATACGAGACAAGACGATAATATCGAGGACATAATAAGTTGTGTACTAAGGTTTGAAAAAAACAAGAACCCGCACCAAATCACTCTGGTATTTTTTTAAGTTTTTTTTTCTTTTTTTTTTTTAATAAAGAAAACCATAATATCGCCGTGTAGAAAAGACGCTGGCAAGCGTGTACAGTCTAACCCGGACCACCGCCGCCTTTTCCACATAATTATTCGCCTTACCCGGTATGTATATGTATATGTATATATATATATATATATATATATATATATATATATATATATATATATATATATATATATATATATATTATAACTGAGTCCTGCTGAATTATCTCGTCCTGTTTTACATATAAATTGCCGTACATATACAAAATTATCACTTTCATAGTTCAACCACGTAGCTAATCTTTTTCTTTTCGCCTTCCCCTAACATCTTGGTCCGTCCACACCTGCACCGGGTCCTCCCTCGGGCGCCTTCTTAACGCTAACGACTTTTCGGCCGGCCGATTTAATCGGTATCGCGGTGCCTTGGCAATATGTACATACACATTTTTTGTGTTCATTTTGCCATTTTTTTTATAAACACAACGGTTAAGAGATGAGCCCGCGTTTTATTGTATATTATGTACACCGCACAGACCGACGAAAATATAATATATAGATTATTATGATAATAGTGTTGTGAGATATTAGAAGTGATCCGGCAATAACAAAAATAATATCCCGTTTAAGATTTTGCTTTAGTGTTCTCATAAGCAAGGATGGGCGTTTTTGAATAATTTTTTATTTCAATACAAATTTATTCAAATTTAAAAAAAAATATTTTATTATATTTTCATCATGAACAATATAATATTAATTGTATATAACGTGGTAAACTGTTTTTTTTCTAGTGTCTTGGAATATCAGAAATAGTTAGATTATTTATAAAATGTTATAATTTTTGAAACATTAAAATTTATTTGTTTTGTACAGAATAAAAGCTAAGACACATTTTTAATTTGACCGGAGGCTTTGACAAATTTGCAACAAAACGTTATTATCTTGAAAGCAAAACAATTTGTTTTCATTTTTTTATTTTTTTATACTTTTGAAGACATTTAATAAATAAATTGTACGTATAATCGAATATATTCATCATCACAGTTGTGAAAATTGAATAGAAGTAAGTTTTTTAAATTCCCTTGTTTAATGTTTTTATTTGTCAAAAATAAAAGAACGTTAAGTGTGAAAGTTAAGAAGAGACGGTGATAAAGAGTAAAAAAAAACGTTGTCAAGTTCAGCGATGACCTGAGGTCGAAATTCAGGGAGAGATTATTTTTTAGATATTTATTATAAGTGAGGTTTTAAAATATGACACCTAAGCTAGAAAATATTTTTTTCTTATTATTGT